GACTCTCCCATAGACAGCAAGGTAACTACCACGTTCAAGGTCCAGAAAAGTACCAAGATGATCGACAAAGTAGTCCGTGTGACATCAGCGGTTCAACTGTAAAGTTACGAAGCTTCGAGAATACTTTTTTGCGCAAAGAAAACGAAAATAACGACTTTATTCCACATTTTCATCACGCCGGATCTGGGTCAGCGCCGGCGCCGCCACACGCTCGCGTCATGGTACTTTCGTGTCCAAAGTGACGCAGTAGAGACGAAAATGTGGAATAAAGTCGTTATTTTTGTTTTCTATGCGCATAAAAGTATTCTCGTAGCTTCGTAACTTTACAGTTGAACCACTGATGTCACACGGACTACTTTGTCAAACATCTTGGTACTTTTCTGGACCTTGAACGTGGTAGTTACCTTGCTGTCTATGGGAGGGTCGGAGAGCCCTCAGATTTCATCAAAAATATCTTAAATTGTGTTCCGAAGATGAACGAAGGTCTTACGGGTTAGGAACAACACGAGGGTGAGTAATTAATGACAGAATTTTCATTTTTGGGTGAACTAAACCTTTAAATATACAGTAGCGAAAACATGTATTAGCATTATTAAAATTGTGATTATTTCTAAGGGTCAGAGAGAGGGTACAAAATGAACATGAAAAACAACGTGTAAGAAACCTAGACTAGCCTTATAAATTAACTTCAGCAAAGAAAAAAGGATATAATGTGGCCTTTAATAAATGCAGCTTTACTTTGTCTGTCTTGGCAGCATGTTGAGTCTCATAAGAGAAGTTTTTGAACCAGTCTCAGGCTTTCTGATGTGGTTGGTGTTGGGGCGCTGCAGGATCTGTAGCCGTTGGCCTGTGCCGAGATGTCTGTCTGAATTAGATTTAGTGTGTGTCTGAATAGTCTGGCGTAATTACATGTAGGAATCTGCTCACCTCATTAGAAGGGTGTGGGTCCATGTTGAACAAAAGAGCATATCTATTACATAATCTGTCCTACTTTCTGTCCTGCTATGACTTTCCTCTTTAGGCGAGCTGTGCACAACCAATTCAGCAACCATGTACTTCCTGTTTTGTATTGTTTCTACTAATCTTATGTTGTTCAAAAGGTCAAAAATAGTTTTTTTCCCCCCTCAGACTCCATCAGGCCAGTCGTTGCCCTGTCCTTGGGATGGATGGATAGATAAATAAATTACAGATAATAAATTGTTTTTCATAAGACAAATGTATAACTTTTAAAAAGGTTTAGAATTTTAAATATCTGTGAATTATACAGCTCCGAACTACTGTATAATTTACTGTAAAATGTGTGTAACTTCATACAAGACCCATATTCAGGAATAATTTCTAAACATGAAAATGTCTTCTCATCATTTACACAAAAGGAGAAAACAATACTACTTATTTATTTATTTTACTATTTTTTTTACCATTTTATTTTTTTACTTTATTTTTCTGGTCACTGGAATGTATTCATATGACCTCAGGCACATGAATTGCCATTTATACAAAAGTAGGACAGAATTGTATTATTTTTTTTTTTATTATTATTTTATCACTACGTATTTACTTTATTTTTAATTTTGCTTTTTATTTTACTTTCTGTGACTGGAATGCATTTGTTACATTTCCTATGACCTCTGAATGTATGCGAGTATCTGCAGGGTGCAGGCCACTGTGACACACTACAAATGAGCTGTCATCAGACTGTTACAGTAACCGCACAGATGCTCATTACGTGTCCCTTTCTCCCGTGTTCACAGATGATCCAGACCAGCCGAACGCTGCTGGAGAGCTCAGACAGCGTGTACGAGCGAATACTGCAAGTCCAGAAATCAGGTAAGAATGAAAAACAATGCGAGAGAACAAAAGCAAAGACAAGGCGAGCGAGAGAAAGAAAGAGAAGGACAGAGTGTTCCACAAGGGACGGGTGTTTCTTGGAACACAGCTGATCGACGCGGCCTTTCGATCGCAGCTCCCTCTGAAATAGAAAGAAAACACGAATGCATTCATACTAAAAAAGCTCAAAGAGAAAGATTTAATTATGCCACACTGTGTTATATAAGGCTTATTGTGCGTTTCTCTTCACTTGTGTGATGTCCTGCTTTTCAAACACCGTTCAAGTAGGGTTTTTTGACTCTCAATATTGTCATTCGCTCTGTGTTCTCTAATTAACGGGGCACTAAAAGGGTAAACATCTATGGCCTATCAAAGCCATGCAATCAATGTGACGGTAACAGCTGCACGATGCAATCGCCCAAGATCGGCCTCAATTGCATTCACTCCGAAATGAAAGAGAAAGCCCGAATGCAAAAGAAAGGCGGCGTGTTTTATCAAGCATTCATGTAATTTTAAGGTGCATCTGTAGCCTTTTGAAATTGCATTGATTTTTTTTTGAAGTGCACAATGTAGCTTCACTTCTGATCTCACAAATCAAATCAGACAGAGGAATCAAAATTTTATCTATAAAACAGACAAAATTAAATATAGCCAGGCAAAGTTTAGCTTTTTTATTAGTGAGGCAAAGCATGAAGTGAAAAAAGAGATGTGCATCATTCCTGCTGTGATTCACATTTCCTCATTTTCCTGTTGCCTTCTATGTCCTACTGCGTTCATAAAACCTTGTGATGCGGAGTGGAAGCATTGATAATCATTTTGTTTTTTTTCTGCATCTTGTGTTACTGGGAGACAGTGATTGGCAGGTGATCGATGCGGGAGGCTGGCAGTGTGTTTCATTGATCGCAGCTGATGGAATCTTGGCACAGGAAGCTGTTAGAGTTCATTAGATGTTCTCTCGATGAATAATTATCAGAGCCCCGCCCAAACACACACACTACCATTCTGTTTTATCAAGCCAACACTGAATCAATAAGCTTGCCGATTGCTTCAATACCACATGTCATTTTCTATCCTGTTCGGCTTTAATAATGGACAAATAAATCTTGTTGCACAGAGGTTATTAATGCTAGTTACGCAATTACTGTTGCTCATACTTAGGATTAGGAGTTTATTAAAATCCTCCTTAAAGAGGTAGTTTACCCAAAAATGAAAATGTGCTGTTAATTTACCCACTCTCAGGCCATCAAAAATGTAGGGGATTTTTTATTTATTTTTTCCTGAGTAGAACAGTAAAGAAGATTTTTAGCTGAAACGGTGGACCTTGGTGATTCATAAAATGCAAATGGGTATTAATTTTGTGTTTCTTGATATGTTTTTTTTTTATTCTCAAAAACATACAGCCGATTAGTTATATAAGGCTTATTGTGCGTTTCTCTTCACTTGTGTGATGTCCTGCTTTTCAAACACCGTTCAAGTAGGGTTTTTTGACTCTCAATATTGTCATTCGCTCTCTGTTCTCTAATTAACGGGGCACTAAAAGGGTAAACATCTATGGCCTATCAAAGCCATGCAATCAATGTGACGCCAACAGCTGCACGATGCAATCGCCGAAGATCGGCCTCAGTTGCATTCACTCCGAAATGAAAGAGAAAAGCCGAATGCAGAAGAAAGGCAGCATTTGTGTAATTTTAAGGTGCATCTGTGGCCTTTTGAAATTGCATTGATTTTTTTTTGAAGTGCACAATGTAGCTTCACTTCTGATCTCACAAATCAAATAAGACAGAGGAATCAAAATTTAATCTACAAAAAAAATTTAATATAGCCAGGCAAATGATGCTATTTCAAGTTTTGCTTTTTTTATTAGTGAAAAAAGATATGTGCATCATTCCTGCTGTGATTCACATTTCCTCATTTTCCTGTTGCCTTCTATGTCCTACTGCGTTCATAAAACCTTGTGATGCGGAGTGGAAACATTGATAATCATTTTGGTTTTTTTCTGCATCTTGTGTTACTGGGAGACAGTGATTGGCAGGTGATCGATGCGGGAGGCTGGCAGTGTGTTTCATTGATCGCAGCTGATGGAATCTTGGCACAGGAAGCTGTTAGAGTTCATTAGATGTTCTCTCGATGAATAATTATCAGAGCCCCGCCCAAACACACACACTACCATTCTGTTTTATCAAGCCAACACTGAATCAATAAGCTTGCCGATTGCTTCAATACCACATGTCATTTTCTATCCTGTTCGGCTTTAATAATGGACAAATAAATCTTGTTGCACAGAGGTTATTAATGCTAGTTACGCAATTACTGTTGCTCATACTTAGGATTAGGAGTTTATTAAAATCCTCCTTAAAGAGGTAGTTTACCCAAAAATGAAAATGTGCTGTTAATTTACCCACTCTCAGGCCATCAAAAATGTAGGGGATTTTTTATTTATTTTTTCCTGAGTAGAACAGTAAAGAAGATTTTTAGCTGAAACGGTGGACCTTGGTGATTCATAAAATGCAAATGGGTATTAATTTTGTGTTTCTTGATATGTTTTTTTTTTATTCTCAAAAACATACAGCCGATTACTTGCATTTTATGAATCACCAAGGACCACGGTTTCAGCTAAAAATCTTCTTTACTGTTCTACTGAAGAAAAAAAAAGTTACCTGCATCTTGGATGGCCTGAAGGTGAGTAAATTAACAGCAAATGTTCATTTTTGGGTGAACTATCCCTTTAACCCTAAATAGCAAATGTTAGTGCATAACTTCCTCAAATCATACTGCTTTTGTCAATGAAAGGTTGCTTTTCTAAGTGACCCGACTTACACCCTTTAGAATGAACTATCTTTACATTTTCTGAAGAAAGCCCTTGCAAAACTCTCTATGATGCTAGAGTGTGGGTGGTTGCGCGGACATGGTTCTATGCAGTGGTGTATAAAGTACCTGAAAGCCATACTCAAGTAAAAGTACAGATATCTTACCAGAAAATGACTTTGGTAGAAGTTGAAGTCACCGTTTAGAATATTACTTGTGTAAAAGTCTTAAAGTATGTGATATTTATTGTACTTAAGTACGGAAAGTATTTTTTTAATCTTAAACGTACT